ACTCTGTTACTTGCATGGTTACTTAACCTCTTTTACCTTCATCTGTAAAATACTACCTACCTGATCCAGTTGTTCTGAGGATTAAATGAGATTCCTCTGGTGAAACACGTAGCATGATGACTGGCATAAAACAAGAAGGCCCCGTACACCAGTTGTTATTATATTTGTTTTACAGAGTATGGCCGGGATTGGGGGGGGGGGGTGATGAAATGCATACCATATGGCTCCTGCCTCAGTGGAATTTATTTGAATGATACATAGATAGGTCTCCAGCTGATTAGTGCCTATATCCTCAAGTTTTAGGAGCAAACGACAATTGAATGTTCTCTTTTTGCCTCGCTATTGTGATTGGGAGTTTGAGGCCCAGTGTTGGAGGATGCCGTTTGCTAGTTAGACGGCGGATGTCTGACAGGCTACCCATGACACCATGACACCACACATCCGTGAGAGCCAAGGTTTGTGTCAACTGAGGTTTCCAAGGGTCATTAGTACATATTCCATAGAGTGATTACAGTTATCAGGAAAGACCACTGCCTAATGGGGACACCCTTCCAAGAAAATTCAAATGGCAATGTAGCTTCCTGGTGGAGGAAACTTCCAGAGCCCGCATCTATTGCTTTTAGTGTGGCCTTGTACAGTTAAAACCAGAAAAGTCTGTCTCCCAACCTGAAGCCTCAGGAGTGAGGATAAGGAAGAGGGGAAGGAACAGAACTGTACTTGGAGCATTTCCCACATTAAGTTATTTCAGGATCTGTGTTGCTAGGTGTCCACATAAAATATATTCACCAGAGAAGCAGGAAGTTGAACACATTCTGCTCAAGACTTTCTTCAGCTGTGTGTCCACATTAGTGCCTTCTAGAAAGAAAGCAGAGACAAAGACAGTCCTGCTTGGATTTTATATCCAGAAGCCCCCCAAAACAAAAATACTTGGGCAACTTTGATCTGTAGACTTGTTCTTTCATCTGAGCTATGAGACTATTGGATGAGGCAAGTCCTCTAGGCCACTAACATGTTTGAGTTATTCTTTCACAGACAGTGGGGAGAATTCTGGATTGGATGGGTCCCATGAGCAATGTAAAGGGCTCTCTCTGTGTGTCTCCTCTCACTTTCTGCCTCCTTCCTAGGTGATGTCATCACTCCACTGGTTTTTACTGATCACATATGATAATGTCTTGAAAAATGCAGATATTATAGTCAAGGAAAAACTACATGACCCATTTCAAGGTCTCCTCTATGCTCCAGACCCATTGGATCAGTTAAGAATCCTTTTAGCTGCAAGTAACAACAATAAAAAATTCAACTTACAGTGGTGTGGCAGAGTCTATTAGCTATCCACAAAATCCATCCTTCCATAGAAGCTGGAATATGGTCTCCTGGTTACTCTGTATTTCTCAGTTCCCCTTGCAGCTAGATGTGGCCACATGACTCAGTTGTCTCCCATGCAAAGGGAGTGGAAGTGAAATATGCCATTCAGGGGCCTGGCCTATAAAATCTCCCTTCTCCCCCTGCTGGCCAACTGATTCTATGCTCAGAACAAAGTCAGAAGCCACAGGTTGAAAACAATAGATCCACTATTACCTTGTGTCCCTGGGCTTTCCACCACCAACAACCCGCAACATCCAGCCTTGACCGACCAAAACTAAGAAATACATGTTTATCATGTCTGAGCCATTACTTTTGGAATCTACTCATTACCTTACTGTATCCTACCCTAAATAAAACAAATGCCTTAAACTAACAGAACATTTTTATCTTACTTAAGAAATTCAGAGAGTAGCTGCTGGCATTTATTCAGATGCTCAAGGGTGCCATCAGGGACCAAGTGTCACCTTCTGCTTACCATCCTTAAGGTATTGTCTTTGTTCTCAAACTCTTGTCTCATAGCCACAAGATTGCAGCTGCAAAGGGATATGTGGGCTATGGGGGTTATGCTCACCTCCGGACAGGGAGAAGGGAAAATCAGCAAAGTGTTAGTTCCCCAGTTGTGTGTCTTTTTATGCCTCAAGGGAAGCCCCTCGATATATTTTAGCCAGAATAAATGAGTCACTTGCCCACAGTTTGACTAAGTGGCCAAGGGGGAAGAGATTAGCACAACTGGTTCAGACCAACCTCACTTCATCCGTAGGGGTTGGGCCTAAGCCCTTCCAATCTCAAAGGATTTCTGCCTATAAGTCAATAAATTGGGGCTCTAGCAACAAGAAGGTGGGACATAGGGGATGGTTGTTATGTAAGCAAAGATCAGTGTCTGCCATAATTGTGTATTGAACCATTTGCTGAACATTTCCACCTACTTGGCATTTTTAACACCTTTCTTCCTCTCACTTCTAGATCCAATTTTATCTTCTAACTGTCCCCTCACTCCTGCCCTTTTTCTCTGTTCCCACTCCCTATTGTCTGCTCCAGCTGTCTCTAGCCTGCCCTTCTATTTCGTTTCCTGCACAGTCACGGCAGGGATCTTACAGAAACTCAAACCTGACCTCAACACTCCACTCTGTAAATTCTCCAACAGCCCTCGCTATGGAATCAACTCTTACGTGTGAAATTTAAATACCACATATTGTAAGTCATGCACACACACACACACACACACACACCCTTTACACCTCTATTCTCTCTGCCCAGAATACTTTCTCTACCTTTTCATCTGTCCAACCTTAAAACTTAATTCAGTCTTTAAAATGACTCTTTCCCTGCCTCCTCCCCAGTACTGACTTAGGCCCTCTCCTTGCTGCTATGACTGTGCCCTGAAAGTATGCTATGTTCCACTAGTGCGTCTGTTCTAAGTTCTTCTAGTGCCTTGTCTACGTGTCTGTCTCCACAACCACCCTGTAACCTGCCAGAGGACAAGGGCCGCATCTTATTCATGCATCACCTCACCCAGTAATTGGCCCAAAGAAAACACTTCTGCAGGGGCACCTGGGTGGCTCAGTCGGGTGAGCATCCGACTTCGGCTCAGGTCATGATCTTGCGGTTTACGGGTTTGAGCCCTGTTTCGGGCTCTGTGCTGACAGCTTGGAGCCTAGAGCCTGCTTCAGATTCTGTGTCTTCCCTGCTTGTGTTCTCTCTCTCTCTCAAAAATAAATGAACACTAAAAATTTTTTTAAATGACTTTTTAAGTCTTTTTTACACATAGAGCAGCCATACAATTTCATTAGTATTTTTCTTCAGGATTGGCAAATGAATGTCTGTCTTCATAGTGCACACCCTTAGAAGATTAATTCTTTGTTAAGTAGGATCTCCAGATAACCACAGTGAGTTACCAACAGAATACTAACCTGAATGCATTCCTGGGATGAATGAGGACCGCGGCAGTATCTGGGAATAATTATACTACAATATTATTGCTTAATAAGGGTGGTAACTGCAGCCAATTTTGGGGCACTTGAATTGTGACAGCACTTTGCAGCTGTTTTTAAATTTAATCCTATCACCTCATGAATGAGGTGCTCTTACTAGCTTCATTCCGTGGAGAAGAAAACCGAGGCCTGAGGGTATAAGAGATGGCTTAGATTCACGCAGTCAGGAAAAACCGGAACCAGGATGGAAACCCACTTTTTCTGACCCCAAAGCACACCTTTAACTAATCTACTGCCCTCCCTTTAATGTCATCAACCAGGAAATCTTGAGAGCTTCTTTACTATGTGAAAAAAGAGGGCTAGAGAGAGTTTTTTTTGGTTTTAGGTTTATGTTTTTATTTTGAGAGAGAGGGAGAAGAGAGCAAGCAGGGGAGGGGCAGAGAGAGAAAGGGAGAGAGAATCCCAAGCAGGCTCCACACCGCCAGCATAGAGCCCAATGAGGGGCTCGAACTCACGAACCACGAGATCGTGACCTGACCCGAAATCAAGAGTCGGACGCTCAACTGACTGAGCCACCCAGGTGCCCTGAGAAGTTTTTTTTGTTTGGTTTTGTTTTTTTTTTTCCAGAAAGACTGAAGTTAAGCCCGAGATTGGATTTATTCCCCATAATGAGAGACCCCAGCTTGATTGAATGGCGGTTGGCAAACACACAGTTCACCCTGTGGTTCGGCTGTTGCCATCGGAGAATTTCCCTTCCTGTGATCGCAGGGACTCCTTGAGAGAAGTGGGAAGGCTTGGGTGGGTTTTTTTGCCTGTTTGTTTTGTTTTTAGCTCAGCGCTTCTGAAACTGGAAGGTGCGCGCGCATGACCTGAGGTGGGATCTTGCTGAAACGCAGACCGAGGACCCCTGCGCCGGATCCGCGTCAGGCGTGGTCACAGCGGGGCCGTGTCACTCCCGCACAGCCTCACCTTGCGGGGGCACCAGGCCCAGAGCCCAGCCCGCCGTGCCGAGAGGGCGATCCTCTCCCTCCAACCGCAGGCCCAGGTGGAAGCCAAGCAGTTCCCACCATCCTCTGCGTGAGGGAGAAGGGACGGCCTCGCGGGTGAGGCTTGGTTTTCTCCCTCCCTGGAGGAAACAAAAATCAACTTAAAAATAAGTTCAACATCCATTTCGGTATGTGCCCCAGCCATTCTGTGAAATCCTCAGAATTTGATCAGCCCGTCAACCTCTCACTTAATTACCTTTTCACCTCACACTTGCCTGACCCAAGAAAGTCTTCTGCCATAGAGGGCTGGAGGTGTTTTCAGAAGCTGGAAAGCAGCTGAGCACAGTGTCGGATCCTCGCCCCCGCCCCGCTCGGGCCTCGGGTCAGGCCTCACCTGGCAGGTGCACTCGTGGCCGCTCTGAAGTGACCGTCCGCTCCCAGGAGGCCTGCAGCTTCCAAGGGCGGTTGGCCCGCTACTGGGACTCACCCCGCAGCGCGTCCGGCTCCAAACAGAGCAGAGGAAACACCATGTCCTCAATGACTTATCCTTGACTGACACCATTTTTCTTCCCCCCTCAGTGGGGCTCTTCTTGTTATGTGGTTCCTGCAATATCCTCTCCTCCCACACATTTTTCACCCCCTGTCAAAAAAGTTTCTATTTTCTTCCTTGAAATCTTTTTCCTGTTTTTTTTTTTTTTTTTTTTTTTTTTTTTTTTTTTTTTTAATCTCGCTTTCCAGCCTTCCTTTAATGAGGTCAAAGACTACAGACAGACCTATAGATTTTGGCTTCATCTGAGGACACGGAATTCAAACATCCAGGTTGTTTTTTTTTTTTTTTTTTTTTTTTTTTTGTGGTGGGGGGTGGTAAATGTTGAATAAGCTGCAGCACAGGAATGGAGGAGAGAAAGCGCTATCTCTCGAGGGTTGACCATGCACCAGTGATCGTGCTAGCTGCTTTTACAGACCTACCTCGTGGGCTCCTCACGGCATCTCTGCAGAGCAGACCGGTCCAGACTGCTACCCCTTTTCACAGGTGGAGAAACCGAGGCTTAAAGAGATCAAGAGGCTGCCCACACTTACACAGCTGCTAAGGGACAAGGTCAGAATTCAAACCCAGTTATTCCCAAAGCCAGCGCCCGGGTCCTGTCTACTGTACCGTGCTGCATTCTGGACCCTGACACTTCTTGGTTAGAAAGCTTCGACTTTCCCTCTTTAACTGAGAAGGAAGCGGAGGCCTCAGGGCCCTGGGGACTTGCCGTGGTGGGTCCGACTGGCTTCATCCTTTCCTTCACCAACAGGAACTTCGTGTTCTTCCTGTCATGGGTATTGACGTGTCCCTGAGGGTTTCTCAGCCTCCTGATGACCCCGGCATGGCATACCCGAAGCCTCAGTTTCCTCCTCTGCAAAATGGAGGCAATAATGGTATCTACCTCATAGGAATCGATGAGAAACATTTGGCCCAGCATATGACTCATAATAAACATTTAATTATTATTTCCTGTGAGTATTGTGGCTGCTGCTGCATTATCATCATTATGATTGGTGCTCAAGATGAAAGTCAATAACAGTATGCCCCATTCGTGTATTTAACAAATAGCCACTGAGTGCCTAACTGTGCCAAACACTCTTCTGTGAGCCAGGGACATGGTAGTGAGGTCTCGATCATCCTGGAGCTTCCATCCCGGTCATGGGGGAGAACCAACACATAAAACACAGGGCAATTTCTGGCAGTGAAAAGCACCGAAAGAACCAAAACAAGAAATGAGACTTAGTAACTAGGGCTTGAGGTGGGGAGGGCTGCTTTGACATGGGGGTCAGGAAGAACACTTCAAGAAATACGTCAGAGCCAAGCCCTGAATGATGAGAAGGGGCCAGTCAAGCAAAGACAAAGGTAAGGAAGGCATTCCAGGCAGAGGGAAGAGTCCCTGTAAGGTCCAGAAATGGGAATGAGCTCAGCACATCAACCATGCTTGTCTGTTTCCAGAACGTTCCTACGCGGGGCAAGAAAGAGTGGTATTTATAGCAGTTACAAGTACAGACAGATGCTGGAGCCCATGCTGCCTGGTTTTATATCCAGACTGTGGCCTTGGGAAAGTCACCCAACCTCGCTACATCCCAATTTCCCGGTTTTCAAATTGGGGAAAACAATAGCGAATATGAAATTAGTTAGACGTGCAGACACTTTTCACAGTTCTTGTCACATAATAAGTAGTCAATGAGGGAAGCTTCTTGACATGATGATTATGAATCCTTCATTAAAATATACACAGCCCTCGAACAGTTCTTGGAAATAGTAAGTCAACAGGTGTTAGCTGTTGGTGGTGGTGCCCAGCACCTGCTGGGGTTTCACCGTGTATCCAGAATGAGCAGGTCACTCTGGCACCCTTCTACCTAGATCAAGTATAGAAGAAACACTTGGCATATCATTTTACCATTTCATTTTAAAATGCACCAATATAATCTCCACGGTCAGGTTGACTTCTGTTTTGTCAACATGTGTTTATCAACATACCCATTCCGCACTGAATGGAAACTATGCTTTAAAAAAAAAATAGAAGAAAGGAAAAACAGAATCACAAAAATCGGGGCGTTTATTGGAAACTGATCCCTTATTTGCCAAGTGATTTAACTACTGTTTCCTCAGCAGTGACTTACACAGTGTGGTACAAAATTCCTCTATTTTCTTCATCATTTCCTGAGGACATTCATTCCCCTCAGGAGGTGAGGTGCTGTGAAAGGGTGAGTTCAGATTCGGCCTCCATGGAACTTGGGTTGATTTCAATGGTTTCCCATCAATGTTTTTCTGGCTTCGATGTTATTACCTATGGGCTCTTGGCCCTGGCGACACCATAATTCATGGCTGACATGGTTTTGTTCCCATGCCATCAGAAAGTGCAAATTCTCCCCCTTCAACCATCAACAACTGGGTTTTATGAGCCCAACCCGAGAGAATTCCTGGTGGGGCCCACCGTGGTACAGGTCTGTTGTAGCAGGAGACCCTGGTGGTGTTTCTCTGCGTGGGGGAACTTCCCCAGGGGTGGAGCCACCAGGCCTGGGCATCAGCGCTTCTTGGACAGCCCCCCATTCCAACCGTGTGGCCCTTCAGAGAGAAACTGATTTTACAGATTCTCTATTTAGGACATCAAGATAGGTTGCCATGGAAAAATGACATCTTCCAATTAAAAACACAGAGAGGTCACAAGTTTCCCAGAACAACTAGGGCACAGATCCTAAAAGGAAAGAAATGAAACATTTAAAAAAAAAAAAAAAAAAGTCAAACAACCCTCCAGAGCTGCGTCAGCCTGTAACTTTCCAAACCTGAATGAAATGCCTTGTGTGGACACAGCATGCCGAGTGGACAGTGTAAATTCACCCCAGTAGATGTCGATTTGGGCTGGCAAGGGCTCAGCAGGCAGAAGTTCAGGGATGCTCAGGGAATATCGACCTAGGACAATTATCCACGTAGATGAGCCTTCTCAGGACTGGGGCGGTGGGTGGTACATGGAAGGGAAGGGCGAGCAATCAGGAAGCTGTTAGTTGCAGAACGGTCTTAACACTCTCTGCCAATTTCCCTTATTTGTGTACTCTGTGCATGTATTGCGAACACCCACAACATGAGTTGTACTTATTTCTGTCTCCCCACACTGGACTAGGGGTTGCTCCAGGACAGGCACGGTGTTGTGTTTATTACCTCCATATCGCTAGTGCCTAACATATTGTTTGGCACATAGAATGTGCACGGTACATCCTGGTTGAGTGAATGACGACGATGATGCTGATAGTGTTATGCCCAGAATTCGTGATCCCCAAAGACCACCAGGGAGCCGAGTCCGATGCAAAAGCAAAAGAGCCTTTATTAGAGCTAGCTCGAGCTCAATCCCCAACCTGCACCGACGCAGCGGTGAGATACCTGGGGAGAGAGAGCGAGTTTCAAAAGCACAAAGGTTTTATTGGGGTCTAGGGGCAGTTGGTGAGGTAATGGCTGTGGCCTCAGCCGATTGGCTGGGGAAGGGTCGTGGCCTCGGCCGATTGGCTGGGGAAGGGTCGGAGTCCTGTTACGAAGATCCCCGGGCTTGTTTTGATTGGGAAGTTTGAACGGGTGAGCGGGAGGTTACTCAAGGGGAGGAGGCGTGGTCAAGGTGAAGGACACAGAACAAGATGGAGTCGGCCGGCGTAGTCCCGCCCTTTCAATAGCTGCAGTCCACCGAGTGCCCTGGGCATTGGGACATTATTAATCTTCTTTTACAGTAAAGAAACTGCATCTCAAGGAGGCACAGTAACCCACAAACATTCACACTGCTAATAAGTGACAGTGATGGCGACATGACACTTTCTGACTCCAAAGCTGAGGAGTAAGCGAATCCTCATGGGGCTGATTTTCTCTCACTCAGAGGTTGCTGAACTCACATGTGGTTTGAGGGGCCCTTTGCCCTGGCTCCTCTCCCCCTTCGCTGACCGCTTGTTGGCACTTTCAAGTCCCCAGTAATTCCTGAACTAGACTAAGCAAGAAAAGGAAAAACTCTGCACTTCAGTGTGGCTGCTTGACCAAGGCTCGTGCGGAAAAAGAGAAGCCCACGTGGTAGGGGGTGAGGATGTGGGATTCCTGGTTCTTTTCCCCCCCCCTCTTCTGCCCAGGCCTGGTCAGTGTTCCCCAAGTGGGGAGTGTAATCACACTCCCGGGATGCCAGCTGCCACAGAGCGGAAATCAGCTGTGCTCTACGCTCCTTATCACTGGGGAGGTAGGCGTCCTGAGTGTGGACTGGGTTTCGAATGGAATGCCATCTAAAAGTTCTTAACGATGAGCTGAATGGAGTGGGTTCTCATTTACCCAATACCTCCCTGTCACACAAACCCATGGGCACCGTGTGCATAGAGCATTATGTGGATAGCACCCCTGAGGTCTGTGTAAGAATGTTTTTGATGTTATCTTTCAACTTTCAAGTATATTTCGCATAATACATTATCAGCAGGTGTAAAAGGGCTTTTACCCACATAATTTCATTGCACCCTGTGAGGTAGGTACTACTGTTACCCTCCTGTAGAGATAATAGGACTAAGTTTTGAGGGATGAGTCACTTTTGCTCTATCAGCCCTATCCGAAGTATTGTCCACAGACGGCAAGTAGCGACATGAGCTAGAAGCTTGTTGGAAATGCAGATGCTAGGGTCCTAAATCCCCGACCTCCTGAATCAGGGTGGTTGGGCCCAGGAATCTGTTTCAACAGCTCTCCAGGTGGTTGTTGTACATGATGGAGTTTCAGCAGCGCTGCCCCAGGACACAGAATAAGTGATATTCTCTCCCACCCTGAGTCAGGCCATGCTGGAGGTACCAGGAAAGGTAGAGAACAAGCCAAAACCTTTAGTACAAATCACAGGGCAACTTCTATTTGTTGAGAGAATGTGAACTCGCCATTTCGCTTCTGTGAAGTTCAGTTGTTCCATAAAACAGGCATACTGTTTACTGGGAAAGGGTGAAGATCAAATGCAATATTGTGTATGAAAGTACCTTGCAAGTTGTTAAATACTAAACACTATAAACTTTTGTTCTTTACTATTGGTTTGTAACCATAGTAATTTTATTATTAGTATTGTTGTTGTTGTTGTTGTTGTTGTTATATTTTACACATAGAAAACCCAGGCACTAGTGGGTAAACTGAGATTTAAAATTTGTGCTAATTCCCAGTAGGTTTCCATTATGTAATCCTATTCTGTAAATATAAAATTATTTTCACAGAAAAGAAAACAAAGGCACATTGAGGGAACCCAAGCTGATAAACAATGACAACAACCATCGCGATAATTACTTGTGTAAGGAGAGGTGCCATTCTGTCTACCCGCAGGGATAAACTTGACAGTGGAAAGACGATGGGAGTCAGCTCAGTACCTGCATCAGCATCCGGGCTTCCCACTTGCGGGTTATTTGATCTCAGACAAGTCTCTTCACCTCGAGGAGCCTTGTTCTTTCCATGCAAACTTGAAATTATAATAATAACTACATGAGAATAATACTGATCTGTTGGATGTGAGGCTGAGATAAGAGGAGGTCTGTGAAAATGCTCGGCAAGCTGCAGCTTACCGTTCAAGTGTTAATTGCGCTGGTCGCTATTGTTGTTTACACTAAGAGAGACTAAATGGCGCTGAAGGGAGAAAACAACGTCTCATAGAGGAATCTTGGAGGCCTGGTAGGAGGAAGGCTGGGAAAGGAGAAAAGCAAGAAAAAAGGAGGGGGGAAAAAAAGGTGGTTTTTTTTTTTTTTTTTTTTTTAAACTCTCTCGACCCTGGGCAGCAAAGAAAGAGAGGTCTCTTGGTTGGGAGGAGGATGAAAAAGCCCCCAGAGCCCGAGGGGACCACGCAGTCACCCAGGAGCTGATGGTCCTGGTGGCTCAGACCATCAGAAATGGGCCTGCCAGAGACCAAGGGTGTCCAGCTCGGGGCTTGTCACATGCCTGGCTCAACTGTTCGGGATTCACATTCACAATGGCCTCAGATGTACACTTTGGACGCCACTTCCAAATGAGTTTGCATAGGCACGGAGACACTGACAGAATGAGAGATGCTGGTCATGCAGCCT